TAGTAGCAGTAACAGTAGTAGTAGCAGTAATAGAAGTAGTAGTAGTAGTAGTAGTAGAAGTAGTAGTAGCTGTAACAGTAGTAGTACTGCAGTCTTCATTCCTCCACGGAGCTTTTTGCCTCTTTAACCACTTTAACCTTTATCGGGGCGATGGCATCCAGAACATTCAAAACACTCAAAGTCACAGAGTTCAACACATCATCAACATTAGAACATGAGGCAATTTCAAAATGTATCATTTCCATGAACAGTGCACCTGTGTGATCATTTATGTGTCTTCTTCGAACAACTGTAGGAGCAGCCGGTGGTTTGGGAATAACAGACAGGTCAAAGAAGACACAGAAATGATCAGACAGAGCAACATCAACCACATTGACATTTGAAATATTTACACCCTTTGTAATGAGCAGGTCCAGAGTGTGTCCTCTGACATGCTGAGTCAGACCAAAAGTTTCAAGGACAACACTAAGATCTTTGGCATTTTTGTCCCACACATTATCCACATGTACATTAAAATCACCTGTAGTGACTAAGCATTCACCCACTGATCTGAAGGTTGGCGGTTCGATTCCAGCTCTCTACATAAAAAAACATCACAGGTTGAGTGATCAGATCCACTGACCCACAGGTTGGCTGGTGTGATTCCAGCTCCCACAGATGAATGCTGCTGTTGTATCCTTGGGCAAGACACTTAACCCACCTTGCCCACAGTGTATGCGTACACTGGTGTGTGAATGTGTGTGTGAATGTGTGTGAATGTGTGTGTGGTCCCTTGTTGTAAAGTGCTTTGAGTGCCTTGAAGGTGGAAAAGCGCTATAGAAAAATGTGACCATTTACCATTATCTTCTCAGCATTGTTTACACTCACTTCAGCACTTATTGCAAGGTGTATCATCACTTTAATTTTCATGTGTTTTGTGAGATTCAAACAGGCAGCTTCTGACATTCCTAAGGCCTACTAGGTGCTAGTAAAACCAAACTAATTTAACAGTGTATGTAGATAACTCTGCCATCATATGTCCCCTCACTTTTTAATGAACTCAGTTATTTGAGAGAGTAGCTCAGTGCAGCAACAAGTGAATAAAACAAATTCTAAACTCAGCAAAGAGTGATGGGTTTTTGTGAATAAATGTAAGTAAAATAGTAGTAAAATGATCCTGCAAGTAATTCTGGCTTCAAGTTATTCAGTGTGTGACACTCACTGTCCTGTTTTTAAACAGGAAATTAAATAAAAGCGTGAAAGCTGTTCTTGACTCCAATAAAATTATCAAAACTTTAATGTAACATTGTACCACACAGTAAGAAAGCAAAGAAAAATTACAAACCACGTATGAACAGACAGGAGGAGAAGACGAGGGAGAGAGAAGAGACAGAGAGATATCTATGATTAAGAGCTGTAAAACAAATCCTTTAAACAAAATTAAATAAATGATTAAATAACAATAATAAAAGTAGAACCATGTAATATAACAATATAGAACAATAATATAATAACAATATAATGTAACAATATCACAATATATAACAATAATATTATAACAACAACAATAATAACAATAATCATCATCAAGATGAAGCTGAAACAATAAAACTACTGTAAACTAGGGATGGAACAATTCAGTGTAGACTACATAAAGAAATAACAGTTGTTTTAAGTCTTAGTTCTTTGGATTAAATCTTGTCAAGGCATTTTAAAGAGGAAAAAGTAGCACAGTAACTGTTTTAGCTGTTTAACCTCCACAAAATATCACAATAAATATCCTACCGTGAGATGTATATAGTGAAAACATCGCACCAAGAGATTTGAATATTGTTACGCTCCTAATCGTGAGCCTCCCCACCATATCGTGAGCTTTCCCATGATATCACAATAAATAAGGTACCGTGAGGTTCATACCGTGATGATATCGTATCGTGAGACTTTGATATCACCCCTACTGTAAACTGAGACTGGACAGTACCACCGCCCCTTCACCTGGGTGTGTCCAGTTCTTTTGCTTTTGTCCTGGCCACACTGCATGCAGGTGTAGTGGTACTGCTTTTTTGATAGCCTCTTCTTTGGCGGTTCCCCCCTTGACACTAGCTCCTCATCCTCCTGGGCAGCTTTATTCAGCCTCCAGGCACGTTGACTTGGCTGAGATGGAAGGCACGCTGGAGGAGGTTGCTGCAGTGGAGGAGCATCAGGACATGGAAGAGCTTGCTGCCATGGAGCATAAATAAATGCAGAGTGCAAATATGAGGGAGCGGGCGGAAATGGAGAAGGATGCTGAAACTGAGGAACTGGCCAAGACTGTGGAGGGAAAACGGGAGGTGGAACTGGTGGACTGATCCCAGGTTGCTTGTTAGCTGCCAGAGTGCGCTGGCGGGGGAAAGCTTCTCCCTCACAGTTTTCTGACTCCTCAAAGGTCATAACATCATGTGCACGTTGCACAGGGGCAGCCGGATGTGTGTTTACTGCAGGGAGAGGCTGTTCAGGAAGTACAGTGCCTTGGAGCAGCATGTCCCTGTCCTTCCTCTTATCCCTCCTAAGCAGCCTACAGACAAACATTCAATAGTTTATACATGCGAGTCTATCCCCCCTAAGGTTATTACACATTTTCTAATAAGCATGCAGGTGGAGGGTTTTTTAGGTTAAATCTTTATGTAACAGTGATTACATGGTATTTGATTCCACTTGTCATTACTCTTATTGAGCTAATGCATTTTGGGTGAATAGCGCCCTCTTGTGATGACCAGTAGTGATAAGTGCCCCTGGCGCCAAGAGCATGTTGCCAGTTCATGAGAGATGTGCATGAGGTGGGTCACTGATTTGAGCTCTGTCAGTAAAAATTGTGTATTTCTGTTTAATTATTCATTCTATGATCACAGCCTAATTGTACATCATATTTATGTCATTTGGAACATTTATGATCTAATATTTTGTACAGTGTTTGAGTTATTACAGTAATGGACTTTTGCACATCATGACAGAAGATAACTTTTAGATGTTAAAGTGACTTGCTCTCCTTGTAGAGCTGCTCACCGTGTTGAGCTGAGATATCCTGACCAGTATGTATTTTGTTTGATGCAGATTGAAACCACAAAAGA